ACTCTGTGAGTTTGCGTGGTCTATAGCCTCATGTTTGAGCTGTTTTTGCTTCTAGATGCTTCTATTTCACAATAATAGCACTTACAGTTGACTGGAGCAGATCTAGCAGGGCAGACACTTCACTTTCAACTGACTTGTGACAAAGGTGGCATTCTATGACACCGGCACGTTTAAAGTCACTGAGCTCATCAGTACAACCCATTCTACTGCCAGTGTTTGTCTATGGAGATGGAAAGGCTATGTGCTTAATTTTATCCACCTGTTAGCAATGGGTGTGGCTGAAACACCTGAACTCAATAATTAGAAGGGGTGTCCCAATTCTTCTGTCTATACAGGGTGTGTGTGTGTGTATATGGCATAGTTGTTCATATAGTGGAAAATAGATCATGATGCAAATTAATATATCTGTATTATGCCTGGTGCAAATAATCTGAATATTTAAATTGGTATTCATTTTTAGTTTATTTAGCCAAAAATAAATGCAATCAGCAAAGGCCTAGAACAGTTGTTGTAAATATCTAGAAAAGGTTGAAATATTTTTGAGTGAGGCAACTTTTGTACAACTGAGTACTCTGTCTAAAATGTTCACGTTTGAAGACACTGTTGAGCAATTTACTACATTTTGTTATCTTATTTGATTAAATAACTGTATCTATAAGCTACTTTACATGCAAATACATACATCTTAAGTGAACCAGGAATTTATTGACATCCAAGTCTCTTGTGAATAAGAATATGATTAATGATTGTTTATGATTACTGATTGATACATGCAGCAAACTATGGGATAGGTCCCACCAGTGCTGGGTGATGAACATTTACATTATGTTTGCAATGATTTCTGGAGATACCAAATTACACAACCTTGTGAATATCACAGTGATCTTAGTACACCTTATTTTATATTTGCAGTTGAGTTTCCTGAAGACTGTGGCAGTCACACAACACACTGAATATGCTCATTTTAAGCCCAATTAGCACATTAGCAGAATGGAACCCTCAAGTGATAACACACTGTGTAAAATGGCTGGATAGCATAGTGGATAACTCCATCGCCCTGTATGTGGAATACTGCGGCTTGATTCCCTGTGCAGGTTCCCTGTACATGCAAGACTTCTATCACTGCCTTGGTCAACCACACTAAGCTGTTCTGGATGTGAGTGTCTGCTAAAATTGTAGGTGTATTTAGTCAGAGAGTGTAAAAATAAAAGTACTTAAAAAAAAATAAAAAACTACCTGAAACTGCATCCCTTACAGCATTGTGCCCAATCCTGATCCTGGAGATCTATCACCCTGCAGAGTTTAGCTCCAATCCAACACACCTGATCCAGGTAATGAAGGCCTTCAGAGACATCAGAATGTATATTAGAGCCAGGTGTGTTAGATTCAACACACCTGACTCTAATATTCCTAATACACTAGATCTCCAGGACTGTGCACCCTAGTGGTTTAAAAGAAATATGACTATACCATTTGTAAAACAGAACTTGTTCATTTTAATTTATTCACTCGATTTTAGTTCTTATTGCAGATTTGTTGTTTACTTCCAAATTTTACTGAATTTATTTAGGGCTGTATGACACTGAGTACATTTACATGCACTTAATAATCTGATAACTGTAGAAAATCAGATTTTGTCAGTAATCCAATCAAGAAATTTACATGCACTTGAGTAATCAGATAATGGGAATCTCTGGGTCGACATGAGTCAGGCAGTAATATGATTTCTGCTTTTTAACCAGCAAATAAACTAACAAGACGTTACGTAAACATGATGTAAAGTCAAACTTCATGCTGCAGCTTTTTTTTTTCAAAATATCGCGCCACTTTACCTGAAAATATGAACATACATCACCTAGAAGATGAAGAATATTTAAACCCTTCATTTCATCAAGCATGTAGTTGGTTTCAGCGTTGCTCCAGAAGTGTTTTGCTGTGTGCAGCACTGCTCGCTTATTTCCGGTACTACAATCTGTTTTCACACATGTGCAAACTGAGAAATCCAAAAGAAATCAGAGCAAGAGTTCACATGCACTGAGAAATCTGATTACTGGGCTAAAATCCAGCCTCTTTATCAGATTTCTTAATCGGATTTCTAGATCAGAGTATGGTGTTTACATGACCATTTGAATAATCAAATAACTGCAGAAACTCAATTATGATCACATTAGTGCACTCACTGACATAAAATGCGATGTTTGATAAAGGTGTTTGATATCACAGTGATGATATGAGATTATGATATGATTTATTATTATTAAAATAGTGTGCTCCTGACTGGATGTGATGCAAGTACAGACTTTTTTTTGATGTGTAAACAGAAATCAAACTAACCACTCCTTCAAGCAAATAGCAGAACACAAAATTACAACAGCAGCATTCACTTTTGTGCAAAATAAAATAAAAAAGAAAAATACTAACAGCTAAAGGCTATAAAAACAGATAAATATGTATATAAACATATAAAGGCACAGAAGAACAAATATTGCCTCGCACAAAATACTGGCTGTGACAACAGTCCTAATGTTTGATGCATTTTTACAAGCTTGTAGTTCAGGATGGAGGAGTTTTGAGCTGTGCATGTGTGTTTTGTAATTGGCTGTTTAGCCTAATGGTTAAGTTACTCATCCCCTGCATGGACAAGCAGGATTTAAAGAAACATTCAGAGAAGCACTCATTAAGTATTTAACAGTGTGTTTACGGTGGAAACTCATATCCCAATAACGATAAAAATATGATTTACCCTATTTATTAAAGACTGCTGTAGCTTTTACATTTGAAAAATCACTCCTTTAAGCCATTTCACAAAGAATACAGGAATACTGAAATATATCGCTGCTGTCAGAAGAAAACTTTTTCCTCTTGATCTTTAAATTCTATGTAAATTTCATGAAAAAGGACCAAAAGAAACGGCCCAAAATTACTTGGAAAAGAGTCTGGTTCCATTGACGTACATTAAAAGTAAAGTAAGTTTTTTCCTTCTCCTGTAAAGTTATCATTTTGGAGATACAAGGTTTTCTTCCCACAACAGCAACATAAATCTATTGTTTATCAACAAAAGGTTAAAAATATTATGTCAGCATAGCCCAGATCACTCAGCCCAGACATCGCCCAGCCCTGGATCACACAGAGAAAACTACTGTCTAGTGGTTTCTAATAAAGAAGCAGCTGAGGTTCAGCAAAAAATGTTACATGTTAATTTTTCCATTTCACCTCTGTACCATGCCCTATCACGCACCTTCTCTTTGTTATCTCGTCCTATTCATGCTGTCTGTGCTATTCCACATTCATTTCATCTATAACATAACCTTTAAAGCAAATTACTCACACCAATGTCTTTGAGACAAGCAGAGAAAAAAATGTGTTAAAAGGCAAAAACAACTGTGAACAGAGCATCTTTCTCATCTCGGGGCATCCAAATTAGCTGGCAAGTTTTAATTGTGAGCTCTTTTCAAGCCAGGAGCAAATCCCGCTCCGCCACATTAAAAAAGCATAAGCTCCAGGCTAATGAGGCCGAGAGTTAATTCATGCTCTGCATAATTCATTCACAACGTTCCCGTTCAGTCGCACGTGAGCGGCGGCGTCTCGGGTGCGTGCCGTCTTACACACGCCGCCATTCACAACTGCCACGTCACACTATCCTGACTTTTTTTACTCGAAGGCTCAGGTTGACAGCCAGTTGCTGGGTTCAGGTAAAGTGGGACACTTCTTGGTAAACATCAGAACATCACTCACCTGTGACTTAAGTACTATTAGTTTAGTTATTTGAATTGGTGCTTATTTCTTTGTCTATGGTGAAATTAGTTTTTCCACAGTTCTGCATCTGCTTAGAAAGTGGCTGTTTGACAGATAAAGTGGGATGATGTTTCTACTTTGAAAGTGTTTTATCAGCACATTATCAGAAGCTGATTAAAAGATTACACCCACGTAGGTAATATTTTGAGTCACTGTCAGTAGCTACTCGTTTTAAAACCAAAAGCATTTACATCATTCTGCATAAAACTGCATCTTTAACAAGTTTTTCTATGCATTTGATTAAAAAGGTGGTAAAACCCACCACGTCAATTAAGCAATATTTGCTAATAGTCAGCAATATCTAATAATTCATATTGTGCACACATAAAACAACATTTAAGTAACATTTCCAGTCACTGGACCTACTTTACCAGCCTATGTCTTACACAGTCCGTAAGAATGACCAAGAAAAATGCTTTTACTTGACATGTGAAATACTGGAAATGCTTATAACTGGAGCTTTTTATTTGTTTTAATGCAATCCTCAGAGCAAAATGCACCTCACAGCAAGTATTCAGCCACCAGTGCTCCCAAACTGATGATGAATTTATGAAATGACATTTACAAAAATAATATTTATAAAATGGCATTTACAAAATATACCACCACTCTTACTAATATTCCATTATTTCACCCCCAAAAAAGAGAAATATCAGAAAACTCCAGCTCCATCCATCAATGTAATCATATACACTTAAAAACATGGTTCTTCAAGGGTTCTTCATAGGAAGTGGTTTAGTTTAGAACCATGAGTCTTATATAGTACCATTTCATGGTTAAATGGTTCTTTGCATGGTGAAATAGTTCTTCAGATTGATGGAGAAAGTGTTGTATATGGTTCTATATAGAACCTTTTTGGATGTTTTTTAAGAATGGTTCTAAAAGGGTTCTGCTGTTGTTACAAAGTCATCCTTTTTGGGGCTATATAGAACCATATAGAACACATTCTCCATCAATCTGAAGAACAATTTCACCATGCAATTCGTTATTCTAAGGAGAACCCAGAACCCTTGAAGAACCAATTTTTAAGAGCGTAGAGTGTCGAATAATGTTGAGAAACGACACCTTTTCCCTCCATTTCTCAGTATTAAACCTCCATGAAAGCAGCCATAGAGTCGCTGTTCTCTCTGAACTCTGTTATAAACTCCAGTCGAGGTTTTCCCAGAAAAGGCAGTGAAAGCAGAAGAAGAAGAAGCGCTGCTCACCTGCGTTCCTCAGTTTGCGGTTGCGGAACACGGAGATGATGACCAGCAGGTTGCCCAGCACGTCCACCACGGTGGTGAAGATGAGCACGCTGGCCAGCACGGCGATGGCCCAGGCGGGTCGCGCGCTCGAGCCCAGAGCGCGCCCCACGTGTCCCGGGTCCGTGCGGTTCCTCGCGACGGCCACGTCCTCCTCGGACATGCCGGGACTAGAGCTCAGGCTTCAGGGACGGAGACTCATTCACGCGAGCTGGAGGAGCGAGAAACAGAGAGGAAATCAACTCTGAGAGGAAAAGAGACGGAGAAGCGCAGAACTCACTGTCGCTTTACACCAATACCTCACACGTACCGTGGACGAGGTCTCGTTCGCTCCATCGTCTCCGAGGTCCCTGCGCATTTTTAAGGAGAGAAAGAGAGCACAGCGCTATCGTCCCTCCTGTCAGCGTGTCCGCTTCGCCAGCCCCTCCATTCTCTTCAGAAACACACACCGGGGGTCTTTACATCCTCGTGTCCGCCGTAACTCGAGTAAGTGAGCAGCTCCGCTCGGAGCGCGGACGCGTTTGCCGCTCGTGGCCACCGTGAGGGAGCGCGCGCTGCTCCATGCCTCCTCGCTCTGCAGGCTGTTGATGTTTTTGTTTTTAAGGAGCAGCAGCGCTTCACACTTGCAAATCCGGCGCGCGCTGGCGGGAGGCTCGGCAGATGATTGGCTGAGCGCTGAGGAAGGCGACCAATGAGAACGCGCGCGCGCGTGGCGTCCTGCTCCACGCGCTGCCTCGGCTGAGTGGCGCGATAGTGTGGAGTGAGGGGAACACAGAGCCGGTGTAACGGGAACAGGTGACGCTGTAACGGTGTGCGTTCACTGGCACTTTTCTCTGTCTGCTCGCCGCTGGTGGGCGTTTCTGTGTCGGTATGGAGATGAAGGAACCGTACTGAGCATAACTGGGGTACTAGACAATCTGATATAACGTCGGCGTAGAAGAAGGCGCGGAAAACACTGCGCGTGCACGCAGCTGATGTTTACTGAACAGGCACTTCAACAGTGAGTCTTTACAAATACCAGACACGCCCAATCCAGTGGTCCCCAACACGAAACACAGGGAGGGGGTAAACATGGGAGGGCATGACATGTGAGGGTAGACACCTCTAACAACTTGTTACACTACAAAGTGCACCTCCATGGACACAATTACTCTAACTACACACTAACAACATACAGCATAAACAACAACAACGAATGTATCTTTTTATGCAGAGATGGTGGCCCCGCCCGAGAGCCACTTTGCATGGCCACACCCCGTAATTAAGCCTACCTCACTTCTCCAGTCTCCAAGCCCAGCATTTCCTTCCTGAGGTCAAGTACGGCCCCGGCCACCATGAGGAATCCAATCCAAGTATGCAGTGCAAGCCAGAACTCCTGCACTCGGCTCAGGCCCCCCACCACGATCGGGAGCTGCTTCCTCCCTCGCATGTGGACTGGAAGGCTGAAAGGTGAAACTGAAAAGCAGGTGTCAACGAGGGCAATGAGCCATTTCTCATCCGTGGTGAACTCAATACAAAGTCTGCGGAGGCCGCTGACCTTCCTGGCTGGCTCCTCTTCTCCCACTTAGGTTCGTGGCATTGACTAGCCTCTTGCTGCACCGCCAGCACACAAGCTTGTCTGCTGCCACTCATTCAGGGACCGCTTGGCACGCCGTTTTCTCCTCAAGCTCCTCCACCGTATAGCACTGTGCTTGCTTGCTGTGGCATCTCTACAGCGAGTTCTGCCCAGTCTGCCTGCTTGAAGGATGGATGGTACAGGGAGCTGCACATTACATCTCAGCTCCTCTGGCAGCAGCGCTTTCATGAAGTGTTCCAGCACCAACTCCTCCTGTGCAGCCTCGCTGGATATGTCTTGCTGTGTGTTTCCTTAGCTGTCTTCCTCCAGCCGCCTTGCTCTCAGCTGGCTGGACCCATCTTCCTCCAGGGTATGCTTTCTTCCCCATCCCCCTTTGAGTTCCTTGATGTGCCCCTAGATTTCTTCAAAATCCATAGCAACATCACACTTCTGACACCACCGAGTGCCACTTTGCATGGCCACACCCCCTAAGTTCCCACAGTATGATTTAAATTTTGCCTTATCATTTGAAACCGTGTACTTGTGCTTTATCCCGTTGAATGTCTATCTTGATTAACTTGTTTAGATACAGTTTACTTCATATTTTCATCCCGCCTACTTAGATCACAAGGTGCTGGCTTACTATTAGTACCTAGAATTAATAAAGTTACGTCAGGGGGGGAAGCTTTCTCATACAAAGCCCCCCGGCTTTGGAATAGTCTTCCTGTTAATGTTCGGGACTCAGACACAGCCTCAGTGTTTAAGTCTAGGCTAAAAACGTACTTGTATAGTCAAGCCTTTGTTAATTAGTTTTCCCTGTCAGTTCTATACCTGCCAGAGTCTCTTTGTGATCGGTCACCCATTACAGAACTGACTCTCTGTGTGTTTTCCTCTCTTGTGTGTTTTCCTTTCTTTTCTTCGCCGAGTTGAACAGCTGCCCATCCTGTGCGTTCTGATGCTGCTGCCTTTTCTGCCTTGATCGGGTGCCACTGCTCGCCAGCCCTCTGGACCGGCTTACCAACATTGAGCCTCCTGCTGTACAACGCCGTGCAAACCTCACCCTCACAACCTGACCCCACTGATACTACTGCTGTTGCTACATGAACTAATCAAAATTATTCACCTGAACCAATCAATCATTTAAACTAGTTCAAATTAATCAATCACCCATTGCAGAACTGACTCTGTGTTTTTCCTTTCTTTCCTTTGCCGAGTTGAACAGCTGCCCATCCTGTGCGTCTGATGCTGCTGCCTCTTCTGCCTTGATCGGGTGTCACTGCTCGCCGTGCAAACCTCACCCCCACAACCTGACCCCACTGATGCTGCTGCTGCTGCTGCATAAACTAAACTATTCAAATTAATTGTTTGCTCCTCCTTTTACCCTGTTTTTTGTACTATAATACTTTATACTAACAATGTTTACTATCCGGTGTCGACCAGAGGAGGATGGGTTCCCCTTCTGAGTCTTGGTTCCTCTCAAGGTTTCTTCCTGTTTCCCTAGGGAGTTTTTCCTTGCCACTGTCGCCACTGGTTTGCTCATGGGGGCTTGGACCCGGATTTCTTTTCTTTTTAATGCTGATTTCCTTGTAAAGCTGCTTTGTGACAACACCGGTTGTAAAAAGCGCTATATAAATAAACTTTACTTACTTACTTACTTTTCACTTCATAAAAAAAGAAGGAATTTCTCCTTAAGAACAGTTGGTAAATGAGGCCCAATGTTCTTAAAGAGTGATTCTATGATTTGGAGAGAAATTTGTGTCTCATTGATTTACAGATATATAGTCACTTGATGAACAAAATCTTGTTTCTCCAAAATGGTAACTTTAGAGGAGAAGACAAAAAAAACATTTTTAACTTTTAATGGAAGTTAATGAAACAAGTAACTAACCATTTCTGTTTATCCTGAAATTTTTATGCAGTTGTTTTCAGATTAGCCTTCCGCCCAATGACAGCTGGGATGTGTGTGTGTGTGTTTTCAGATTATGTATAAAAAGTGAAAAATGACAAAAAGGAAGGAACAAAGTTTTGCTGACAATGATGATATGGAAATATATCGCTGCTGTGGAAAGAAAACCTCCTATCTCCATTTTTGTTGTTTTTCAGTTTTTGACATAGTTTGAAAACACCTGTTGCCTTTTATATTGTATGTAAACATCATGATGAATGGACCAAAAGAAACGGCTCAAAATGACTTCTAAAAAATTCTGGTTCCACTGACTTACATTAAAAGTAAAGTAGTTTTTTTCCTTCTCCTGTAAAGTTACCATTTTGGAGATACGAGGTTTTCTTCCGACAACAGCCAAACGTAAATTTAAGGTAAAAGATGTTTTAAACGTGAGTAAAGTCAGTGTTAGAATTATGCTCTGCAAAAAAGCCAAAAAAACAAGTATCTCCAAAATGGTGGCTATACAGGAAAAGGCAAAATGTTCCAAACTTTTAATGTAAGTTAATGTAAAGAGATTTTGTTCCAAGTAATTTTGGAGCCTCTCTATTAGTCTGTTCATCATAACATTTTCACACAATGTAAAAGGCAGCTGCTGGGCTCAAATGATGTATAAAAATAAAAACTGAAAAAAGAAAGATACATGTCTTTTGATGTTTTGGACTATTTGCTTGGCAAAAAAGCCACTTTACTTTAAACAGTAAAGGACAAAGTAAATGAAAAGATTTCGCTTCTGGCAGGGGTTAAATTTCGCTTCCCGCTGAGTTCATGTAGATGAACCCAGCAAAAAACCCTGCTAACCTCAGAAGCATGAGCCAGTATGAAACAAGAGCGAGCTGCGGTGTCTTCTTCTGAAAACAATCACAAATGGAGGAGCTGCTCTTCAGTCAACGTAGCACCACCAAACAAGTTTACTAGCTAGTGTTATCTGTTCACCGAACTATGCGTTACCTCCAAAATCACATCAGGACCACCCATACTTGTTGAAGAGAATAGAGAGGAGACAGCCTAGTATGAATAGTATGAATGTGGCTTTAGTGTATTATAAGGCACAAACATGCACTGTCTCACATTAATGTTGTGTTTTTTTATTAACATATATTTGGCATTTACAGTTCGGTTAGGTTTGGTGGATGGTTCAAACTTCGGCACTGCTTTCAAGTTTTGGCTCTGAAAAACCCGCTGAGCCTTTCTAGTGATGATGTTCATGGTAGATATGTTGTTTAATTAGCTGCATGCACTCAAACTGACATACTGATAGAACAATTCAGCATAATCTCTCAGACAGGTTCTCTTATGTGCACTCTTACACTGACCGACTCAATCCCTTACAAGAACAGTCCATTCAAAACAGCCAAACACAGTAATCACACAATCACATGCAGGCAGGTCCCTTCAGAGGTCAAGCAATCAAACTCTACAACACAAGCTACAATATCAGGCTGCCCTCAAACATAATACTTAAAACCAATTGTTATATGCATTAAGGTAGAATGCAGCTGTTGTACATTGCAGTGCTGACCTACACACTGACCTACATGTGCTTTTTGAAGCACAAACACACATGCACAGTTGTTACAAAACGAAATTCAAATGCAACAACCAAAGCTTAACAAAAGACTGACCATTAAGCAATAATAATCAATATAACAATTATCCACTATCATAGCCACACACAGTCATCAGAAGAGCTAACATCTACACATCTGTGCCTTTATTTTACATTCAGCTTGGACTAGTAGCACTCATGGCTTATTGTAAAAGAGCAAGAACAGAAAGACAGAAGAGATGGACTGTATGGAGATGGATTTTACTTTTATTTTTCCCATCAACCATTGCAA